ATGTTTTAACCGGATCTTTTGAATGAAATTAATTTTTAGACCAAAAAAAAAAAAAAATCATTGTCATCTGTTTTTTTTTTTCCGTTACAAACTCATATATACCTTAATTATATTGGGCTCATATTCCTTAGTATCGAATCATCTCCATTTCATGGGCCTTAATTATATTGGGCCTTTCTATACTACTAACTTTGACGGATAATAATAAACTCTTTTGGGCCATTAATATAATAACTTTATTATATTTATGAAAATTTCAGAAAAAAAAAATAAAAACGTTACAGAGCAGAGGAAGAAGACGAAATGAAATCTCTAACTGAAGCAAACAGAGTTTCACGTTTTGAAGGATCATAGATATCAGCACCGTGAACATCGCCGCCGGTACTCTCCGTCACTTCTACTCCTTTCTTCTTCATCAACTCCGCCAAATCTCTCTGCCGATCAATCATCGGATCTTCTTCTCCTCCGATCACCATCACTTTCCATTTCAACACTCCGATTTTCTCCAAATTCTCCGATCCACCTCCCACCGTCGGATTCGAATACTCATGATCACGACCAACTCCGACGGGAAGACAAAGATCCCAGAAAACATCGGTGATTACCGGAGGAAGAATCCGATCGTTCACAAGTCGAATCTCAGATCCGCATCGCTCTTCTCCGCCAAAGAACGGATGGTGTAGAATCAATCCACGGATCTGTAACGGGCTTAGATCGGAGACGGAATCTGCAGATCTCAACCCCACGGCGTAGGCTAAGTTCCCTCCGGAGCTCGTTCCCATTAGAAACACATTAGAGAAATCAGCGTGAGATCTGATCCACTCATCGTCGGATTTTCCAATCCAATCCAACGCTTCGATTCCGTCGTCGTACGCCGCCGGTAACCGATGCTCCGGAGCTAACCGGTACGAAGGAGATATAACGATCGCGTTTAAATCACGCGACATGGTTGAGCAGAAATCATGGAAGACCTGGAAATCGACGCTGCAGAGGACGAATCCTCCGCCGTGGTAATAGACGACGAGAGGGAGTTTCTGAGACGAAACGCCGTCGTTTACGGTTGCGGTGGGGACGTAGAGACGGAGCCATGTTGACTTTGAGTGGTTAACGGTAATGTCTTTGGAGACGACGGGGTTTAGTGGGGAAGGATCAGGTGTAGCTGAGGCGCATGGGAAGTTGGTGAGGTCGCGAGTGATTGAACCATCTTTGTTTTTCACAATGTTGAGGTAAGCGTAAGGATCAGTGATCGGAGATTGATCGGACATTTGTGTTGTTTTTTGGGTGGTCGTGTATTAGAGAGGTAAACTGGTTTCTTGAGTCTCTGCTTTTGGAGTATACTACTACTATATCAAGGAAGAAAATACTAAAATTTAATTCGAATCTGACGGTCGTATCTTTTTAATCTATTTTATTAGGTTTTCTAATAAATGTTAAATCTAATTTATATTCATTAGGATGAGATTTATTTAAAATTTAAGCCACAAAACAAATGGCATTTATGAGAGTGCATGCATGTGGAGAAAACGTAATGGTCGTAAACACGTCTTCTTCATTAAATTCTAAACCCGAAACTAATTTCAAGTTTGACAATAATTTATCAACAAAGTCTTAAAATTCGACCCCAAATAGCTTAATATATATAGTTCATGTAAAGAAGGTAAATAAAACATTCAAATTTTAAGACTGTTGTAACGTTAAAGCCATTTCGGGGTTTTGATTTAGGAGCTGCATAGAGAATTTACTTGGTAATGAGAAGTTTTTGCAAGGTAAATAGTCAGAAGCCTAGAAACTCATTCATTAATCAGGTACAAGGAAACGTAACGAGTGATGAATTAATAATCTTATCATCATTATCATCCAAATGACACAAAATTGATAAGGAGGGGACACAAACGAGTCTTCTCCTTATGTTGTTCATAGAAACAAAAACAAAAATAAAAACACGACACAAAAACACTGTTATAATGTATATATTGCCGGAGCAATAATGATAATTATAAGGCAAGGGGGGATTTGATCATAGTAGGTATGGGTTTAAGGTAGTAACGAGTTTTTTCACCATCTTTTGCCTCCACCACCACCACTACCACGGCCAAATCTACTACCTCCTCCTCTGCCTCCATTTCCAAACCGATTTCCACCATTTCCACCACGGCCACGGTTATTGCCACCATATCTTCTTTGCATGGGTTCTCTCTCTTCGAGTTTAGGCATCTCCTTAACAACCTCCAGGCTCACACTTCCAGCATTCTTTTGCCCAGCTGCAATGAACAGGTCCACATCCGATTGCTCAACATCGAAAACCGCACCTTGTTTGTCTGCTGTGAGAGCCATCCCTTGAATCAATTCCACCTTGTCTTCTGGTAAGAATCTCCTCAGTATACCAAATGCAAATCTGCGCAACCACAATCATCTTACTTTTTGCTTTTAAATGCTATCAAAGACTACACAAGCAGAGTAATAAAGAGCAAAACTTACGATGCCGTGTACATGGGTTTCCCTGCTTCAAGACGTAGAGTGACATAGTTCTCCATTGATGTTAGCAGTGACCTTTTCTTGATCTCAGTGAAGCCCTGCAATGCCGATTCAAAACTCTTAACTACTTGCTTTGAAAAGCGAGAAAATAACTTGCATCAAAAGAAAAAAGAGACCAACCGCGGTTTTTGCAATAGCTTTTGCGAGGAGTACTTCTGCTGATAAACCAGAAGATTCTAGTAACTCCTTGGCAGCCGCCAGAAAAGCAGGAACCACACTGCATTTAACATATTATTAGGTCAGTTTTAAGCTATTTCTATAGTTTTACTAGGAAGATTGAGGTGTAAGTGTGAATGAAAGCATACCTGTCGCAGACTTGTGTAATTTTCTCAGCAGCTTCCATACCAACAGCTCTGGCGATATCATCAGGCTGTGGTGCAGACAAGTGTTCAAATTTTATACCAGCTTCTTTTTCAATCCTTGTTAGTGTGGCCTTCTTTCTAGACTCGTAAAGCGTAACAGCAACTCCGGTATTGCCTGCAACAAGATAAAATAAAGATCATGACAACATCAAGCAAACCTAAAGCTATCAAGCAACTGCACAAATTATCAATTAGACGACCAAATAAATGTCTGCTTTACCAGCTCTTCCTGTTCGGCCTGAACGATGAATGTAATCTTCAACATCACGTGGAGGCTCACACTACAAGACAATAAAACAATATGTTAATAGAACACCAGTGTGATATTAGATAAATAACGATTAGAACACCAATGAGGCTGCCACTAACCTGGATAATTAACTGCACGTCATTGATATCTAGACCTCGAGCAGCGACGTTTGTAGCAACCAATGTCGAGAACTTACCCTTTCTAAATCCACTAAGAGTAACCTACAATCACAGGACTCATAGTTAGCAAGCCGATTCAACAGGAAAAAAAATACATTCTCACAACTTTACTTTTCCTATGAAAACGTTTGAAGTGAACATTAATAGCCTACCTCACGTTGTGATTGCTGTATGTCACCATGCAGAGCTCTTGACGCGGGCAACAAACCAGAAAGCTCAGAAGCATGATCTTTAGTCTCAGTGAAAATAATGGTACTACCCCCACTGAATTTTGAAAGAAACAGAATTGCATAAGAGAAAAAACAATTTCAAACTACAGAGAAATGATTATGGAAATAAATGGAAGTACTAAACAATACCTGCTATAGCAACTGATAATATCAGGAATCAACCGAGACATAGCTTGCCTACTACAGGGAAGAGCAATATGTCTAACACTATTACTGGCCTTCATTTTATCGTTACCAACAAGATCGATAAGTTTCCTATCTGGTTTAAGAAACCTATTCGCGATCTGATGATAGTAGCAAGAAAGATGTCAGGTATATATAGAGAGAAATGTAACAGAGCGCAAAATCACAACAGTTTAGCTCATGAAATATATAGTAAAACAAAATGTTTGAAAGGGACGCACGTTTTGGACCCATGATGGCAAGGTAGCACTGAAGAGAAGCGTCTGGACTTTCTTAGGGTCCTCCACTTTCCCTTAAAGTTAGAAAATTAACATATCAATAAAGTAAGAGTTAGTTGTTTCGTATCAAGAGAAAAAAAGGTACCCCATCACATACCTAATATAAGTTCAACTGGTTCAACAAATCCCATTCTCAACATTTCATCAGCTTCATCAAGAACACGGAATTGTAGATAAGTCAGGTCAAGCTGTTGCTTTTCAATATGATCCTGCAATGAATCAATACAAGGTCACACAAACAACAAACAAAAACGATGATTTAGTTTCAGGAAACCGGGAGCTTAGAATAAATTTGAGTTACGAAAAGAGCAAGAGACATACCTTGATACGACCAGGGGTCCCAACGACAATGTCAACACCTCTCTTTAATTTATACTCTTGAGGTCCGTAAGAATCACCTCCATAGAGACAGCAAGAAGTTAACCCAACTGCTCCTCCATATGCTTCAAAGTCAGCAAACACCT